GAAATAGTTCGAAATAGTGGGGTCTTTTTTTTCAAATTATACAGTACTCATGAATCTTAAATTAGTGTATTCATTTTGTCCTCATCAGTTGAACAATATGCGAAATTGCATCAGCATGGAGTTTAACAAGGTAGTGCAGTGGTGCTAAAATTGGCATCTGAAGCTTAACACATCTAATTATGGATGGATATGCTTTGGTCATACATCACTCAACTTAGATCTTATCATAAATGTTGAGGTGTTATCTAAGTTACATACAGTAGTAGACTTAAGTACTTATACGATTTGTTGTTTAAGGAACAGGTATTGAAATAGACTTCCAAGTTTCAACGTCTTATGGATTGGATAACTCAAAATCTTTATAAAAACAAGTCATATATTCTGATGTATAAAGTTTGTGTTCAACCACTCTTAGAATACTGTACATTTATCCTTGGTGATATGCGCATAAAGGATAAATTAAGGTTGGATTCAGTACAGAGACGATTTACACTTTCGATTCTTGGAACTGATTGTAATAAACTTGAACTCGATCGTTTATAGAAAAGGTGATTCAAGCTAAATCCAATCATTGCTCCTTTGAAAATTCATTAAATCTTCTAGCCACATGTAAGTGCATCTTATTCCACAAGTTACATTATAGGAACTTTAAATGTTTAACCATTCTGATTAGTGAATCCCCTAAGTAGAATCACCTACCTGCTGATACTTTACATTAACACCGTCTCTGACAACGTTATCTACTTTCAATGATATCTGAGATGAATAGTATATAGCTGGGTCATATGACATATGCATTATAGTAGACCTGATTGACATATTTTAGCAATCACTGCTTTGTTGTTCCATACTCTGTATTTCTATTTTACTTTATCTAGTTTTAGATGATTATAATTAATTTTTTATAGCACAAGAAATGACCTTAAATGCACCGTTCATAAATCAACAAGAAATCCATTTAAGAAGAATTAAAAGTTCCCGGGTTAGTTGAAGTTAGACACTGACACTATTGAATGCTGGCCGGGTCAGTAGTCTAGAGGTTAGGCGTTCGCATGCGAGACCGATAGGTCCAAGGTTCAAATCTTGTGAGGCGGGATCATGGAACTGCATTGCCAAGGAGGAGTCCCACAATAGAACAAAACAGCCGTCCAGTGCTTCCAAGTTCTCTATGATTGTTTAACTTCAATTGATCTATGATCACAACCATTAAAATTACTACACGATCAACAAAACCTCTTCTGATAAATATTATTTATTTATTTTAACACATAGATATTGGTACATGGAGGCACCAAATACATATGCGCCATACAAATCTCATTAGATGTGTGTGAGCTATGATATTGCCCGGGTGCCCAAACCGAAGCAGGTGATTTTCCTAGGGGGCCACACCCCGAGCCTTCGACATGAAGATCTGACCCACAAGGCAGTGGAGCATCGTGAGGAGATGCAGTCCCATGGTAGTCGGTGACCAACGATTGGTTCATACGCCATTTGTTCTTTCAGGATACTGCAGCCCATGTGCACCATTGGTTTGGGATCCAGTTAAAGCGCTGGACATTCGCTTTTCGTCCCCTCATTTTCGCAAAAAACACCTCCGTCACGATAAATATACTACTCAAATAAGTTTTAAACTAGTAAACAATCTTATATCACATGTGTGTTCTCCACAATTACTGTTCGTTTTATATCGAATATTACTAATGAAAGCATTACCTACATGTTGTCTACTTAACTAATTTAATAAGTAGAATAAAATGAATCCAAGACTTTTGATTGGCTACTTTTAAAAATTGAGTCTATTTCCATATGATAGGAAACTTTAATATAGAATGATGACTCTTCTGTTAACGCAATATAAGGTATATGCTGTCAAAAGGTGGATTTTGTGGAGATTTAAGTAATTTAATAGTTCAGATCATGAGTCAATTGAAGCTAGACAACCATGAAAAACTTGGAAACATTGAATGGTCGTTTCGTCCTGTTATGAGACTCCTCAGCAGTGAGCATCTATGATCCTGCTCGCGGGATTCGAACCTAAAGTCTTCAGGCTTCAGTTTTGTATACATATGAGATATCTCAGCAATACTGATCCATTACCCAACCAGATAGTTTCGAACTTAGGATCTTCGGTATCACAACCACTTCACACTAGACTACTTAACTGAAATTCAATGCTGTATATATTTTAATTAAATCAATTCATAATATTACGCAACCAACTGTCTTACACCCGACATGGTTGGAATCCATTGATTAAAAGTTTATTATGTTTAACCATTAACCTTTAGGATGATCTTGTTTTTTGATAATTCGTCCGTTTAACTAAATGTTACCAAAATTTCTGTATTTTGTTTCAATAATATGAATAACAATTGTGGTTGTGAGTATTTTTAACAATCTAACTAACTTACCCAATATACTTTATATGTGTATATAATGATGGATAATAAAGAAACTGATCCATTGGATCTGACAAATGACAAATGTACATGACTGGACAGGAAATGGTATATATATCTAATGAATGGCATGAACTTCGCTGGCGGTTTGATTATATATAGATATATATTCCTTATTTGGTTATTTAATAAGCATTCTTTCTCACTTGAATATCCGATTGGACTTGTCAGTCAGTCAATCGGTAACAACGTAGAATTTCCTACGTACGTACATCATTTCGAGTTGCCATACCATATTAGCACAGACATGCAACTTTCGATTCAAATCCTTTAGTGCCGTAGTGAAGCAGAACACTGGTGAGAACTAGTTAGTAAAATCCAACAACCTTATATTAAATCGTTAATTTGCAAATTGTTCATCGCTTGTCTCAAATAACTCAGAATCCCTTTGTTCTTGCATTTTCATACAAATTGCATTCTTTCTTCATTGTTTATTGTTTGATCTTCTCGTCTCTCTGCTGCCAGACATTCTGTTCAGTACTCACGTCATATACTATTTATGTCTACATAAGTACCACACACCACAGTGATAGAGGTAGTAAAAGTATAAGTAGTAATCAGAAACACTAAGATTCGAAGATGTTATTCAAGGAGTATAATCCAGCGAAATAAAAGGGATATGATGAATTCAGAAGATTCGAATTTGGGAGAACACAAAGAGTCGATGCACCTGCGCCATTGCAAACGATTTTGAGCCATGTCATTCAAGGTCTCTTACCATCGGTTGCTATCATCTCGCGGACCGCAACCAGGTAGTCTATACCTACCAACATGTCTCAGTCCACTTGTCAGTGACTTCATGGATTTGTGCCATGTTTTGGTTTGGCTGCCCCTAGCTTTCTTCCAACCTACTCTTACACCGTAAAACATTGCACGTCGAGGCAGTCGATGGTCGGGCATGCGTAACACATGTCCCAGCCATCTCAAGTGATCAAGTATCACTAATTCGTCAATTGATTTGCCATCCTTACCTAGTACCTGCTTTCTAACAACTACATTACTTACTCGGTGGTCCCAGGATGTACGAGCAATGTTTCGAAGACATCTATGATCGAATACTAGTAACCTACGAATATCCTCTACTCTTACTGGTCATGTTTCACTGCCATAAAGTAGAACAGAACAAACTACTGCACAGTAAACTCACTTAGAGTATGAATGAGTACCAGTATTGATACTTGGTTACCATGCATTACTAAAAAAAAAAAATAAATGATCGAAATCATCAGAGTAATATACATAATTATATAAATTCCTAGTTTTTTTTTTGGAGGAAGGGGGGGGCACAAATTCAAAAATATCTGACTTGTATCTCATTTTGAAATATATACGATTAATTTAAAAATTTTCTCCACATTACACTTTTACTCAATTTCCTTCCTTCCTTCCCTCTTTCCTTCTCTCCTTCTTTCCTTCCTTCCTTCCTTTTTTCTTTCTTTTCTTTTCTTTTCTTTTCTTTTCGTAACTAATTCAACATAAACATGAACAGAACAGAAAATAAAACATAATCAATCAATCAATTAATCAATCAATCAATCAATGTATTTTAACTTTCGTAAAGAAACATGAAAAAGAAAAACAAAAACAAAAAAGAAAAACAAAAAAGAGAAAAGTGACAAAAAGACAAAAAAGATATTACATTTTCATGTATATTCAATAATATATGCTTAAATGTCTATTCTCTGGCATGTAATAATAATAATAATAATATAAATAACTTGAAAAATTATACTGTACTGTAAAATTTCACAGTATAATGAATAGTTTCATATGTATATTTGTGTGTGTATGTGTGTGTGAGTAGGAGAAAGAGAGAGAGAGAGAGGAGGAGGAGGGGGTTGATGGAGGAGACAAAGATGATATTATAAAGAAAGAATTGGTTAATGATGGATAGTGGTAGATGTTTATACATATTTATGAATCAGTGAGTCAGTCAGTCAGTTAATAACAACGCAGAACTTTGTATGTACGTACGTACTTACATTTATCAGTTCGAGTTGCCATAGCACATTATCATACAGATACAATTGTCTATTCAAATCCCATCATGGTAGAAGTAATAAAAGTAGAAACAGAAATCGGAAAGATTCAAGTTTGAAGATATTATTCAAAGAGAACACAAAGACTGAATACATCTAATTCATGTCATTTAAGGTATTTAATCATCTTGAATATATTCAATGTGATAAAATTATAATAATATAATGTGAACCAACACCAAGGTCAGAATTTTCAATACAAATATCAAGACAGTTCTACTGTATGAGTCGGAAACTTAAAGAACTACAAAAACTATCATTTAGAAGATACAAGTGTTTATTAACAGTTTTCTGCGCAAAATACTTCGGATCCGTTGGCCAGACACTATTAACAACAATCTACTATGGAAGAGAACAAACCAGATTCCAGCGGAGGAAGAAATCAGAAAGAAATGCTGGAAGTGGATAGGACACATATTGAAGAACTACGTCACAATACAAGTCTTCACGTGGAATCCTCAAGACCGAAGGAGAAGTATACGAAGATCAAAGAACATATTACGCCGGGAAATAGAGATAAACATGAAAAAAATAAACAACAATTGAATGAAATTAGAAAAAAAGGGAGACTCAAAACAGAATGAATCGAAGAATGCTGGTCGATGATCTATGCTCTATAAGGAATAATAAATGTAAGTCATAGTTTAATTCAATGAATCATTTATTAATTACAACATTTATATAAGGCACAACGATTATATAAATGTTTCATATATAATCGATAAATACGATTACCCCAAAATCCATATAAAATTGTATCTAATATTGCACTAGAATAAGCAAATATACTTGTATATTGTAACCATGTATATATATATGGTTTATATTGTTTATTATAACATATATATTGTAACCATTCTATCATTAATATAAATGATCTTGGTCCACGACATATAATAAATATTAATAATAATATAATTAATATACGTAATGTACGTCTATGTTGTCGTCTTAATGCTTGTATTAATATAGATTCATCAGTAGATTTAGTTTGTATTAAATCAGATGTACGTGATTGAAATATTGAATTGAATATATCATTACTACTTTTACGACGTTTTTGTATAGTATACATGGTAGATAATTTTATATTTGATTCATTAAATCGATATAATGGTGATGTTTTTAATGATGTTGATGATATTACTGTTGATGGTGTTAGTTTACAATTATTATTAGTAGTATTATAAGTAGTATTAGTAGTGTTAGTAATAGTATTAGTAGTAGTATTAGTAGTATTAGTAGTAGTAGTCAATAAACGTTTTGATGTGAATGTTATATTAGAATTATTCTCATATAATTCATTATATGATATCATTGGTTGAATAATTGAAATACTATTTCTTCGTTCATTAAATAAATAGTTTTGATAATGATTATTAATACTACTATTATTTTTATGATATAATAATGAATTAGTAGTATTAGTATTAGTAGGATTAGTAGTATTCATAGTAGTATATTGAAAACTATTCTCATTTAAATCAATAAAAGGAACTAAAAGTGTATTTTGTTTTTGATTTTTTACATTGAATAATGATTGTTTCGTTTCTAAGTGATCATTTATTGATTTATTGATTAATGTATTATACTCTTCAGATGTATTATTATTAGTAGTAGTATTCGTAGTATTAGTAGTATTGGTAGTAGTAGTAGTAGTAGTAGTAGTAGTAGTAGTAGTAGTAGTAGTAGTAGTATTGTCATCATCAAGATTAATTCGTATATCTTGATTACTACTTTCAAGAACACGTAATAATGGTATTGGAAAATTAATAGTGGTTGTTGTTAATTTTCTTTTAATTGGTGTACTTATTGATGAAATAGATGTACCAGATATAAATGATGATTTACTAGTATTACTTGATTGTCTAGAAAAAAATCGTTTATCTCTTGATGCTACCTAGAAATAAAAGAAAAAACAAACAAAAAAAAATTCTATGTGAAATTATTTGAAAATATTCATAATCATGATTGAATCAGTGTTAGGTTGTGATAAGCATCATAAATGGTAACTTTGAGGATCCATTGATGGATCAATACTATACGTATATTTTTATCGTATTATTGTTATGCAACGAAACTGTTCATATTCGTGTCCTTCTTATTATAAGCTTTATTTTGATCTATGACCTGTTAATACACGATTTACCATTCTTGAATTATGCTCTGTCTACTAGTCATTGCCCCCCACATTCACAGCCACATTTGACCAAATTTTGTACAAATGTTGTTTCATATTTTGTGGTATGATATGGTCTATTTAATTGGTATATAAACCCCGTGTGTTTGAAATATATGAATCATATCGCAGAGACTGAGATTGGTGTTCTGGACTTAACTGGCTGGGCTAGGCGGAAAGCAAGATTAATCAGGACTCTACGCTGCTCGTACGTGTTTACGCGTCATTGATGCTATCAATCAGTCACTACTCCTTAATTGGCGGTATTATCAGGTTATCCATTAATAGGGCATTCAGGTCACAAGTTATAACAATCATTTAGTAAGTTAGTTAGTTAGTTCAACAATGAAAAACTTAAAGTATATTGCTATACAACAAATATCAAAACAACATGTTGTTTCAATTAGTTAGTTATAAGACCTTGGTAGAACTTGGGTTATATGTACATCGGTGAAGATTCTCATACCTTATTAGTACAGCGAGATTGTTGTGAACGTTAGATCCTCAGAACTCAATGGAAAAAGATCCTAATTTTGTAATTTTATTTTGATAATTTGAATTTCTTTGTTTTCGCGCCAAAAGCACTCTTTTCACTTTCATGTATTTTCTACTTGGGATCCGTAGTGTTTTTTAGTATGCTATTTTGTAACGCTTCTCATGGACGGTTTTGTGCTGTATATATGCGCTTTGATTTGTATCTGTTGTTATCGCTCGTGGTTCTGACTGTTGTGGATTATACTACCTCGTTCGGACTTCGACTTCTCTCTCTAGTTAGCGAGGCTGGGATGCAATAGAATAGCTAGTTTATCGGTTTTTGGTCGCAAGTATTTGTTTCGTTCAAAGACTAAGTGAACTCGTAAGCGCTTCAAACCTAGCAGAGATAAAATTGTCAGGGCACATCTTAGAATAGTAGAAGTATAGTGGACGTTACTGACAGGATTATAAGTAGTATATAGTGGAGCGTCGCGTGGAAGTTGTTGAAGTCGACAACCGAAGACAGAAGTCTCAAGAAGGCAAAATTAAGGCGAGTTTAGAATACTTTCGTGACTGAAACAGAAGCTATGAAAGACAGTCTACAATAAGCTTGGGTTGTGGAACACATAATAAATCCAAATGGGAAACTGAAGACTAAGTGTATATATTTTATAAACAATCTGTGTCTCATCTATACTTGGCTTATTCGTATATTACAGAGACAGTAAAACTATAAGTATCAACAGATAACATTAGGCACCAAAAAATACGATTTAATAAAGTAAAAATACAAAATAATTATAAAGAGGTTAGAAAATACAGGATCTAAGTAAAGATAAAGACTGAATGGACCTGAGTCATTGTAAAAGATTTTGAATCATGTCATTCCAAGTATCTAACCACTATTTAAGACAACCAAATGAACCCCAACTAGATAGTTTACACCTATTAGCACGGCTCAGTTCAGTTATTAGTGACTTCGTGGACTGATGCTATGTTTCGGTTTGAATACCACCAGCTTTCTTTCAGCCTACTACTACACTATACAACATCCCTCGTCGAAGTAGTCAATGGATAGCTATACGTAACAGACATCCTAACTACTTCCATTGATGAAGATTTACCACCTCATTAATTGATTTGCCAATTTTTTTACTTAGTACCCTATTCCTAACCCAGGCATTGTCTACTCAGTAATCCTGAAATATACTAACAACACATTGAAGACACCTATGATCAAATACTGCTCCCAAATGCACTCGTACGGTCGAGAGGGAAGGGATTCAGCTCTCCCTCACGAAATGTTCTGACATCACCACGTACATACAACCACTGACAAAGAAGTCCTACTCACTACCTTCTCGCACCACGGGTGTTGTTTAAGAAACTAAGAAGACAAAAAGCGAATTTCCGGTGCTTTAACCAAATTGGTGTATATGGAGGATCCACTTAAAGGAGTTGTTTAACCCTTAGTCCAATCCAATGGTGCATATAGGCTTCAATATCCTGAAGGAACAAATGGCGTATGAACCAGACGTTGGTCACCAGTTACCACGAAACTCAAAGTGTGCCTCCCCCCTCAAAAAAAACCCACCTATTTCGGTTTAGTTATATTTTATACTCATGGATAATACAATAAAATGAACTATTATGCAATATCAGTATAGGGGTTGTGGAGATTATTAAGCTTCTTTGATTGATTTCATGAACCGATTAATGTTAGACCACTTTTGGAAAACTCGAACCACTAGACAACCGTTTCATCCTATTGTGAAACTCTTCAGCAGTACACATTCATAATCCCATTCACAGGATTCGAACCTAACGCCTTCAGTCTCACATTTGAACGCTTAATAATCTAATTCTTTTCATTGGCAAATAGTTATTTCACTTATATTTTATTATTTACATTATAAATTAATTAAATAAATTAAGAGTAATTATAACATACCAAATACAATGTACTTTATTATTATTATTATTATTATTATTATTATTATTTATAAAGTTCATAATGAATATAAGATAAGATAAATGGTTATGTACATGCATATTGACTTATAATAAAGACGAAACAAACAAATTGTATGTAAATATCAGATTATTCGTGTTATTTTCATTTGGAATGATAGAAGATGATTGTTGTTTTCATTTGACCTTATTAGAAAAATAAGTACTTATATTTATCAAATTATATTATTATTATAATTATTACTATTACAAGTAAGTGGTTATCAGGATTTAGTAGTTAAGTGGATAGTGAAGAGTACAAGGTTCGAATTCCAAAGTAAACATCAACAAGTCTAGGATACAAGTACATCTAGTTGATGAGTCCTAAATAAGACAAAATACACATCTTGGATTCTACCGGTAGTCATTGTTCATCTTTGTTTATAATGCTTGTAAGTTAAAACAATATTGAGGCAATACTCACAGTATGTACATATGACAATAAAAGAGAGACTGATGAATTGCAGTCCTATATATCTATGGGAAGATTGAAGTATAAAATACCAAGTGAATTATTATTATTAATATTATTATTATTATTATTATTACTAATTAAAGTGTAATTTAAAATTGTTATATCTAGAGATTCAGTCAGTTAACTAGTCAGTCCGTTACAACGTTGGAAGTCTGATCAGCTTTAATGGATTGATGTCTGACGAAATCTTATCATGGATTCAAAAAGCTCGTTTGGCTTTTGCCAACATACGTCACCTATAGCAAAGGAGAAATATCCATCTATCAATTAAGGGACGAGTATACTGCACACCAGTTCATTCTGTTTCAATTTACGACTGAGAAACGTGGCCATTAAGAGTAGAAGATAGTCGGAATTTACTAGTATTTGATGACAGATGTCTTAGAAATATTGCTCGCATCTGTTGGGATCACGGGGTAAGTAGTGGTGAGGTTAGACGCAGGGTATTAAGAAATGATGGTATATCAGTTGATGAGGTTTTGAATCTTCATCAACTAAGATGGTTGGGCCATGTGTTACATACGCTTGAACATCGATTACCATTGTGCTCAATGCTGATTAGTGTTGGACATGGTTGGAAGAAAGTTAGGAGCATCCAAACCAAAACGTGTCATCAGTCCACAAAGTCACTAACTTCTAGTCTGATCCATGTTGGTAGATGCAGACTACTTGGTTAGTGTCCTCACGACTATCGTAACCAATGATTGGAGACTTTGTGTGACATGGCTCAGAATCGATTACAATGACATAGGTGTATACACTCTCTATCTTTCCTTAAACTATGAAATTAAAATTACTTTATATTTTTCTAATTCTTTCTTCCTGTATATCCTCATACACAATCGTTCTATTATATATTACTACTATTCAATGAACTCCTTCCATGAATTCGGTATTCATCTTGTTATTCCAATATGTTATAACAACTTGGACCGATGCATATGTATACCTAATCCTATGTTGTAACTAACTGACTGCCTGATTGAATGACTGACTAATTGGCTCTTCTCTATACTCTACTTTTACCAGGTTTAAATTTACAATACTATGTCATTGATACTACTAAAATTTATGTTGTCCTTCTTTTTTCTCTCCACAAAACCTGTCTGTTATTTAACTTCCATATTATTATTATTATTATTATTACCATAGTTTTTCATTTATTACTATCATTCACTATGATAATTTACTGAAATGATTATTCTAACTAGACTATCAATTAACTTTGATCAATTTCTCCACCCTTCCCCCCCCCCACCAAAAAAACAAAAAATAAATAAATAAACTTGTCATGTAGTCATCTTTTTTTTTTCTTTTTTCCTAATCTCTTCTATCACTTTTAACATTTACCAAAAACAAAAACTGTAAAAAAAAAAGATAAATAAAAAGAAAAAAAACTAAATTCATTGATCGGTATTCCAAGAGGTAAAATGAGAGAAGTATTTCATGAACTAATTACAGACAATTTACTGTAAAAAAAAAAAAAGAAGTGCGCATACGAGCGAGAAAGTGAGGGAGGGAGGGAAGTACGGAGGGAGTGTGTGAGTGCGTGAGTGAGTGAGTGAGTGAGGGGGAGAGGGAGGGAACAATCTCCATGTGCTTTAATTCATTCATAAATTTTCAACAAAAAAAAATTTCTAATTTGTGAATGACACAATTAATTGATGGGGAATTTGAAAGAAGTAATCAGGTTGGAGGGGGGGGGGTACAAAATTATTTTATTAATAATCCTTAAATATTGTAGTTAAAAATTAGTAAATAT